TATTACTAAATTTTAATCTAATTACACAAAAGTGACCATTTTTTATAAAGACAGAAAAGTGACTAAGAAGGTCATATTTTTGAAAAACATGGTGTCATTGTCAATTTTCGTGTCACTTAACAGATGTCACTGTCATTCTTTCACTATCGGGTATACATGTCACTTTGCTTGTCATCATCGTCATCGCTCGTGTCATTGCCGCCGCCGGTTACCACTGCCGGTTCAGTGACATCGACATAGTGACACCACTAAAGTGACACCACTACAGTGACACCACTACAGTGACACCATTACAGTGACACCGTAGCAGTTGCTGCCGTCTCACCAACTCCAGTTGCTGCTTCAACATTCTAGCCGCCGTCATCTGGCCAACCGGACTTACCGCCACATGTCGACAGCCCCTAGCCCCCCTCCCCAACTCTGTCCCAGCCTCCTGACCTGCTCCTAGTCATCCTCCCCCCTCCCTAGCTCCAGTTCCGACCAATTGCCACCACCATGGACTCCAGCGTGACCAGTTCCCACTAGCCGCGCTCCAACCCAGGCCCCATCCGGCCATCCCCACAACACCCTCCACAACCCCACAACACCCTTCAAAGGCCTGTGCAGAGGACAAGAGCATGTGGCTTCAAGCTTTCTATCTTCATTTGAGGAAAGCGGGAAGCTCGAAATACCACCACCGCACCTCCGCCGGCAGCAGCGGCCCCTAATTCGAAGTCGTCATCCATCAAGGATGGCGGATCTGGAACCAGTGGTCACGAATCGGAGTCATCGCCCATTGAGGGAGGCGGATTCGGAACTGGCAACCTCAAATTGGAGTAGTCGTCCATGGGAGGGGCGGCCAGAGAGGAAAACGGAGGAGCTAGGTGCTGCTGCTACCGTCGACGAAACTGAGGGCGGAGGTTTAAGATCTACCACAGGCGAAGGTGGATTGCGGCGAAAATGGAGGCTCGGCGAGGTATGTTGCGATGAAGGTGGAGGAGTGAGGGCGGAAAAGAGAAGATGAAGCGGAAGGCAGATCTATGTTTGTGGAAGAGGTGAGATGAAGTAGCGCTATGTTACGTTCATGGAAGAGGCGAGAAGAAGGTCTGCAGTTGATCACTTTTATGCCATTTTTAATATTGGTCATATTTTTATCCTATACAAGTTGAGAACTAATATCGGGGTCATTTTTTCTGAGTTTAATCCAACACGATATAATAAATACCATCCTCCGTTCTCTTTTAATCGCAACATTGGACTTTTTGCACTATTCACATTTTTTTTTAGCTCCAAATAAAAACTCAATAAAATCTAGTTATCACCAGAAAATGTGATAACCACCTGGATCCAGGAATTTATCCAAACTTCAAATTCTCAAATAAAATACTTAATAATAATCTCTTTATTATAATACTGAAATACTGAAACGAAACAATAACTAGCTAGAAGCCGCCAAGGTCGTTCCCGTTAACTCATTTCGGCACACGTTCCACTCCCTCATCATCTTCCTAGGCCTTGGCCTTACCCTTAATATCTAGACACATGCAGCCCCAGCAAAATAAGAGAAAGCAGCCTCAGTAATCTTGAACTTCTGTTGGTTCTTGCGGTTAATGCTTAAGAATGTCATTTTGATAGGCTTATCGAGAGATTGGATGGGTGGCACTTGAGCAGCGAGCACCTCAAGTGAAAAGGTTGATACAAGAAGATAATAGTCACCTGTTTTGAATTCCCTAGCTGTCAGCAGGCCAAAGTAGTCACCATTTCCTATCTCAACCACATCTAAGCCCATCTCGTCTCCTCCCAATCCTTCCAAGTCGAAGATTCCATCCACATTTTGATAACAGGAGCATCCTTTTCCTTGTGTGAAAAGCGTAGCTCGAACTTCGAAAAAGTACACATTAAGGTATCCAAAGAGGATATATGTGTCATCATCTAAACCAGGAGCCGAGACAGCACGCTTTGGACAGCCATAATATAAAAGAGATCGTATTTTTTCATATTGCTTGAAGGCTTACAGGAGTATTTATAATAATACATACACATGAGTATTAGAGACCTAGTGTATCTATACAACTAAGGGATAAGTTACAGAGATAGGAATAGGTAGTTACATCAGATAAGTGAACACGTGAATAGATAAATACATTAAAATATACAAATATTATTTATCTCTAATACTCCCCCGCAAGATGGTGGATCCATCAGAGACACCAAGCTTGGACCGAAAATGAAGAAACAGGTTGCGACCAAGAGGCTTGGTAAGAACATCTGCTATTTGTGCTTTAGAGGAGATATGACGAACTGAGAGGCAGCCAGTTGCAATTAAATCACGAACAAAAAAATAATCGAGAGATAAATGTTTCATACGAGAGTGAAATACTGGATTTTTGCAGACGTAGGTTGCACTAAGGTTATCACAAAATAACATAGGAGACTTGGACTGTGACACACCAATTTCTTTGAGAAGATTCTGAACCCATAGTAGCTCGGCAGTAGCATTAGCAAGAGCTCTATACTCGGCTTCGGTGGATGACCGGGATACAGACCTTTGTAAAGCAGACTTCCAAGAAATAATAGTAGAACCAAAATAAAGAACATATGCAGTAGTAGAGCGGCCAGAGGTGGAAGAGCCACCCCAATCCGCATCGGCAAACGCAGTAAGGCAGAGAGAGGTGCCACGCCGTAAAAACAAACCATGAGAAGGAGTACACTTGAGATACCGAAGAACCCGTTTTGCAGCCAACCAGTGAGCAGGAAGTGGACCATGCATGAACTGAGATAAGCGATTGACAGCAAAGGAAATGTCAGGGCGTGTAATACCAAGATACTGCAACAAGCCAAGTAACCGGCGATAATCTGAGGCATCAACGGCCTTGTGTGGATCAGCATGAGGCAGAATATCTGAAGAGGACATTGGCGTAGAGACAGGTTTGCAGCCATCCATGTTATAAGTAGATAATATATCTGTAATGTACTGGTGTTGAGAAAGGAATAGCCCGGAAGGAGTATAAATTGCTTCCACACCAAGAAAATGATGAAGACTGCCCAAGTCTTTAAGTGAAAACCGGTTAGAAAGCAGAGTAATAAAATGAGTTAGAACATCATTATTATTCCCTGTGAGCACAATGTCATCAACATACACCAAAAAATAAATAGATGTCCCACGAGAGACATAAATAAACAAGGACGGATCAGCTTTGGATTTAAGAAACCCGAGACCAAGTAAAAATTGAGAAAGCTCCATATACCAAGCACGAGGCGCCTGTTTAAGGCCATAAAGTGCCTTCCGAAGGCGACAAATATAATCTGGGTGCGACGGAGCAGCATACCCTGGGGGTTGGTCTAGATAAACCTCCTCATGCAAAGTGCCATTAAGAAAGGCATTGTTAATATCCAGCTGGCGAACACACCACCCATGATGCAACGCAAGAGTAAGAATAATGCGGGCTGTGACTGGCTTCATAACAGGACTAAAGGTTTCAGAATAATCCTTACCAGGTTGCTGCGAGTACCCTTTAGCAACTAGTCGGGCTTTATAGCGATCCACTGTACCATCAGGCTTGCGTTTGACTCGAAACACCCATTTACACCCAACGGTGTGATGACTGCCACGAGGAACTAAGTCCCAAGTGTTATTCCGAAGCAAGGCAGAATATTCCTCATCCATAGCTTGACGCCATAGAGGATCCCTCAAGGCCTGGGTAATGGTTTTGGGTTCAAGAGTTATGGGTAGGGGGTGCACAGTAGAAAGATTGACAAACGACGGCCCAAAGTACTTGGGATTGGGATGACGAGTACGAACTGGATTGGACCGGAGAGGAACTAGCGAATGATTAGGAGGAGGAGAGGAAGACTCGGTGATAGGGGGCGGACTGGAAGACAGTTCAATGGATGAAGAAGGAGAGTGTGTAAAAGCAGAGGGCATGTCTGGCGACGTACTGGGAATAGTCTGACTGGAAGGGGAGGTAAGGGAAATGGGTGGTGGACTGGGAATAGATGGACAAGGAACAACGCTGGGACAAACACGGGAGGATGATGTATCATGAGAGTCCGGAGGACAGGACACTCCTGGAAAAATGTGGTCAATGAATTTGACATGCCTGGAGAAAAACAGTTTGTGAGTAGAGGGATCATAGCATTTATAGGCTGACTGAGTGTTAGAGTAGCCTAAAAAGATGCATGGGGTAGACCGGGGTTGTAATTTGTGAGTGGTATAGGGACGAAGATATGGAAAGCATAGACACCCAAATGGTTTTAATTTGGTGTAATTGGGTTCGGTACCATAGAGAAGAAGATAGGGAGACTTATGATGGAGCAAAGGTGTGGGCATGCGATTGATGAGATAGGCGGCTGTTTGAAAGGCGTGAGGCCAATAGGTGAGGGGTAAGGCAGCCATATGAAGGAGGGATAAACCAGTTTCAACAATATGGCGATGACGCCGCTCAGCGGTACCGTTGTGTTCAGGGGTATGGGGTGGAGTGGTGAGGTGAGAGATACCATGAAGGTTAAGCGTGGGTAGTAGTTTAATAAATTCACCCCCATTATCTGAAAAAATCGAGATAATAGGATGATGAAAATAATTTTCAACCAACCGCTTAAATTGCGGAAATATTGAAGCAACCTCAGATTTCTTTTTAAGGGGATAAAGCCAGATATATTTGGTGAAATGATCCACAAAGATGACATAATAAAGATAACCATCAGTGGAAATTTGTTTTGTACTCCACACATCAGTATATATGAGTTCAAGAGGTTTGGAACTAACAAGACTATTATGTGCAAAAGGCAATTTGTGACTTTTATTAATTTGACAGGAAGTACAATAAAAATCTCTAAACGACATTGCCGAAAGAGGCATGTGACATTTATTGGCTAGAATAGATAAAACTCTATTGGATGGATGACCAAAGAGATGATGCAACTTGGAAATAGCAGAAACACGAGTTGTGTGGACTTGAGGAGACGATTGCGAGTGAGCATAATAAACTCCATCAATTTTTTGACCCTTCATGAGAGGCACCCCCGTGAGGCGATCCTTGACAACAAAAAAGGTTGGAAAAAATTCAACAGAAACACGGTTAGTGTGACATAACTGAGAAACAGAAACAAGATTTTTTTGTAAACGAGGGACACACAAAACATTTGTGAGATCAAGAGGACGAGAGGGGGTCGAAAGAGATGTATGACCAATGTGAGATATGGGCAAGGAATTACCATTACCAAGACGAATTTCATCGGGACCATCATAGGCAGAGAAATCCTGAAGGGAGCCAATTCCAGATACTGTATGGTGAGAAGCACCGCTATCAAATAACCATGGAGAGGCAGGTGAGGGAGGGCCAGAGGGAGTAAACTGAGTAGTAGTAGTGTTTACTGCCGGAGCCCCAGTGGTCATGACGTAATGATTGTCACGAAGAAAGCGGGCTAATTTTCTACAATCACGAACAACATGACCTGGAAAATTGCAAAACCTACACACTGGTCCACCTGAACGAGGAGAATTGCCAGGAGGCGGAGCCGAAGTGAAGCTGCGGTTGGAATTGCGTGGAAGGTGTCCACGACCCCGAGATGCACCAGAGGGTAGACTGCCAGGGAGTCCTCCAGAATGATGCTGAGTGTGATGTGCTGTTGGAATAAGAGAAGGAACGGCATCGGCCGATTCCTTAAGCATCCGTTCATGATCTGTCAGAATCCGTTCAAGTTCAATCATAGTAGTGTGCGTGGTTCGAATACGCAGAGCAGAGACAATAGACTGATAATCATCACCCAATTGATTGAGAATGGAGATCAAGAGATCGGTGTCAGAGACCGGACATTTAGCAAGGGCTAAATCAGCTGCAATAGCCTGCATGTCTGTGAGATACTCCGGGATGGAGCGAGAACCACGAGGGTTGCGGGAGAGCTTATTTTTGAGAGATAGAATACGTCCAGGGGAAGCACTGGAATAACTGGAAGAAAGAGTCTCCCAAGCAAGTTTAGCGGTAGAGGCAGACGAAATTAAAGGTTGAATGGCCTCCGAGCAACTCCCAAGAAAAGCACTTATGAGAATTTGATCTTGTCTGTACCATATAGAATAGCACGGGTTGGGGATAGTTTTTTCAGCGTCAGAAAATTTTGCTGGAGCATCAAGTGAACCGTCAACATAGCCTAAGAGATCAAGGCCAATTAGGGTAGCTTCAACTTGACGGCGCCAAACTGGAAAATTGGCTGATGTAAGTTTGATGGGAAAATTTGTGGGAGCGTTAAGTTGAACAACTGGAGTGGTCTGTGAGATAGTCATGGCGGAAAGGAAAAAAAAATATAGCAGGATCGAGTAGATGAAGAACTACTTTGCTCTGGATACCATATAAAAGAGATCGTATTTTTTCATATTGCTTGAGGGCTTACAGGAGTATTTATAATAATACATACACATGAGTATTAGAGACCTAGTGTATCTATACAACTAAGGGATAAGTTACAGAGATAGGAATAGGTAGTTACATCAGATAAGTGAACACGTGAATAGATAAATACATTAAAATATACAAATATTATTTATCTCTAATACATAATACCTATGTTTTCCCACATAAAAACAGTCATCCTTGGACCATTCCTCTGTCTTGAAATCAAAAACATAATACCTCTCTCCTTTCCAATTCACGTTCAAGTAGAGCTTCTCCCCTATTCGATAGAACCCATGCACGATATACACTCCCTCGTCCAAGGCACCATCAAAAAAGGTATACCTGATTTCACAACCCAGCCGTTTTCTGGAAAAGCAGAATCGAAACACTCAAAAACTCTAGTTGAGTATCTCCTTGTCAACTTGTCCAACTTGAAATTAGGGCCCATGTGCAGTACTATTCACATATTCTACTTTGACTATATTTTATTCATTAATGTATTATAAATTAATTTTTTTAAAAATATTATTAAATTCTTCTCATTCTAAATTTTCAAAATATGAATTTTTTGAATTTTTTACTAATAAGGAATGAAAGATATTAATGGTCAAACTTGTGCGTTGGCAAACGTGAAATGTTGACTGTTGCAATTAAAAAGGAACGGAGGAAGTATAAATATAATTTGGTATGAACAAATCCGAAAGAGAGAAAATCATGAGATTTTTTATGCTAATGTTCAGACTCTCTCATTCTCATTAGACTCTCCTCACCATTAATTACAATGTACAAATATTGAAGTTCCCACAAATGGAGGATAAAACTATCTAGAGAAGAGGAGGAGGAAGAGAAGGGAGGAAGGGAAAAGTCCCTAATAAGGAGGGGAATCCCCATATTTATAGGGGGAATGGGGAGAGGGTGCAAACCATCCTAATGGGAATCCCCATATCATAAAATTTTTCTTTTCTTTCTTTTGTTGGTTAATGTCAAGTCATTTATGCTAATGGGCACAATAAGGAGCCGCGGTGTCTCCACTAACATGTACTGTCATATATTTACGCTGAAAACGTTATATAACTTATACAAAGTATTACATAAAACGTGTCAAGTATATTTGATATACTCCGTAGAAAACATGTTAAATATTTGATTTGGTCAGTTCAAAATCAGGGTCAAAGGCTGGTGATGCCCACAAGGCCCACAGTCATTCTCAACATGAATTCAAAGCTGTGAAAGGTCAACTGAGTAAACCTGTAGATATACACGTAGCAGCATCTTCCACTGGCCACCGGCTGCTCCAAAACATGATCTCAGTTTGCATTTGTTGGCAGCAATGGTTTGGCGTAACCTCACTTTTCTAGTTTTCTAAGTCAAAAACCCAACTCCAAGAATAAAAATTACCTAGCTTAGTACCTGGCAACCCAAGTCAACGCCCGTCTTGTGTGTAGTGTGCACTTTGATTTAATTTATACCGAGTATTTTATAATACTCCCTTCGTCCCTGAAAATACTTCCAACTTTCTCTTTTCGTCTGTTCAAAAAAGAACTTCACTTTCCCTTTTTGGCAAAGAAGTTGTGGTTCATAGCATTTCTCTCTCCTCTGCACAACTCTCCACCACACAATTCTCACTTTCTTAATCTGGGTGCCACTTTGATGTAGTACTAAATTATTGATTGAACCCAAATCAACCCAAATGGAAAGTGGGTGAGATCATGAGTAGTGATAGGGGATATAAATTATTGAAGATATGATAGGAACATAATAAAATAGTGTGGTGGAATGAAGGATAAATCCAAAAAAATAGGTGTAATAGTGTACTCCGTATTATTTTTAAAATTATTTTGCGTATGATGGAAAGATTTAGAATGTGAAGATTATTTAGTTACGGTTAAAAATGGGAAGTGGAAATATCTTTACGTTACGGAGGTAGTACTATTTTATAGGGTGGTGACATGCTTTTTAATCTCCTTATCTCAAAATGGAAGCTCCATAACATATTCTGACGTTTGACCGACAATAGATTTATAGGTCATTTAGCAACATTGTTTTTCAGCTTAATTATCAGGCTTATCTGTCAACTTTTTCACCAAACACATAACTTTTGCTTTCGCGCGCTTAACTATGTAGTAAGAAGAAAAATTAAGATTGGAGTTACTTTTATGGCTGTATTGGGTGAAGTTAGTGTAGATGACCATTTTAGCTATTTTTACATATAATTTTTTCTTTATTTTGTTAATAAAATATATTTTAATTTTTTTTCCTTAAATCCCAATGCAGCCTGATGGATAGTGTACCCGGGGGTAACTTATCCGAAGGGTTATTGCGGGGAATAACCTAGAGAGAAGTCAGAGCGAACAAGTAAGAGAGAGAGAGTCAAGTGTATTAAATGAACTTGTTCTGGGATCCTTTACAAGAGGAATAAAGGCTATTATTTATAGCAGGCATAAATGCGATGAGAGTACACATGTCAACAATCTAACGGCCGAGTGGTCACTTCAATAGGAGTGACAACGGCATATGCATGTGTACTGCATTAAATGCGGTGGTTGGACGTGACGCCGCATTAAATGTGGTTGTTGCTTGTCCCCAATTGAAGCTCGTAGAGCGTAGACCCTTCGGCCAGTGACATATGGCCGAAGGCTAAGTTCATGCCGAGGGCACCCAGTAGCCGAGGGCTACTGTTTTCTGCCGTTTTTCCCCAGTAGCTTTGTATGCTCGAATCTGGCTGCCCTGTAAAATTTGGAGCCCCCGGCCATAGGGCCGAAGGCACCTCTATGTGCACCGTGGGCTTCTTAACACTTGGGCCGCTGTGTTTGGGCTTTGTGTGCTCATTGGGCTTGATGTGCCTGACTAGGAGAAGTAGGAGTCTATGGCCAGGGGTCCCTAGGCCATATACTCCATCACAACCACTTTAGCCAGAACTTCATAAATTTCAGCCAAATCATCCGATTTTCGTGCTACCAAACAAGCTCTTAACTTCATATCATATTGTAATTAGAAATTTTATAAATCGCAAAAGGTGAATTCGAAAAAAAAGCAAATCTGAGTTTTTGCCACTTTTAGTCCTCCGACTATTATGTCATTGACATTTTTTATACTCTACTTTGATTGTTTCCATTTTAGTGCTCGACTATTGCGCAAGGGACACTTTTGGTACCCTTCTTTGAAAATTTCCGTATTTTGTCCATCGACTTTCATAAAAGTGATACATTTGATCCTTCAACTATTATAAGAATAACATTTTTAATCCTCCACTTATTGTTTCAAAGTCAGAGTGGATGAATTAAAAGTGTCAGTTTGATGATACTCATGGGACTAAATGTGGAAAACTTTGAAGTCAAGGACTAATAATGTTTCTAGAACAATAGTCAAGGACTAAAATTGAAAACGTTAAAAGTCGAGTACCACAAGTGTCAATGACACAATAGTCGAAGGACCAAAAATGGAAAAACTCTAAAAATCCGCACTTAAAATTAAAAATTAAAAGTGGATAGACAAAATGAGTCTATTCTATACCTAGTATATTTTATTTTTTTATATCTTAAGTGCCAATGACATACCGCTACTTTTTTTTATCGTAAAACAGGCGGCTTTATATTATTATCGAGAACGCATACAAAACAATCCTCAGACAGTTTTACAGATCCCATCGTGAACCCTAGGAGTAGACATAGAATCAGCCACCTCATACAAAGCAACCTGAATCGCTAAACCTGAAACGGGCAAATTTAAGCCTAAAACGAACGGATTTGAAACCTTGCCTATCAAAAGAACTCCAGAAACTCAAACATTCAAATCAAATCTACTCGGACAAAAACAAAAACAAGTACTACTAAAGAAAAAATAATATTGAAATAAAATATTTTCACAAAACTCTTCCTGGTATGGAGGTGGTTCCGGAGGAGGACGAGCTCTTGCAATATGGGTGAATACCAACTCCACCACCGCCGGAGCGGCCGACCAAGGCTTCAAGATCTAGCACCAATACAAACTCTCTGCCACAATCCGTACATCCGCTAATGTTATCTCCTTCGCCGTAGTTGCAATCCCAAGTGTTAGAGCACTTGCAATCAAAATAATTTGCCGCTCCAGCCCGATATTGATAGGGACGACGGAAAAATCTCAACCCCTACAAAGAGGGGAGACGACCGCTAGGTTTTTATAGAGTAGCAAGAGCACTCTACTATTTGCACATTCGTGACATACCGCTACTTATTCGAATAAAATTTGTATAGTACTCATACCAAATTTCAGCTAAAACTTCAATCGGGAAGGCATTCAAATAAATTCTTGAAGATAACTGGGCTTTTAACTGCGCAGTTATCTTCAAGAATTCATTTGAATGCCTTCCCGATTGAAGTTTTAGCTGAAATTTGGTATGCATAAACTAGACTTAATGAATAAGATGCTCAAACATTTCATCGAAAAATTCCATTGGGAACCACCCCAAATGACGACGGCCAGACAGAACCTCCTATATAAGGCCTTATTTGACATTTTTTGGTAAGTTTGAAGCCCTATCTGACCCTTTTCCCTAAAATTTTCAAAGAAAAACTTTGAATCCCGTATTCTCTTAATATCTCTCCGCTAAAATCCTTATTCATATATAGAAAACAAATTATGATAACGACTAACAACACTCGCAATTTATACGGTGGGATCGGCTCATCATGAGCATGGTGTGCCTTCCAAAAACTACGTAGTATTGTTCAATAAAAAAGCCAGAAACCATTGTTCCGTAAAAAAAAAGACTGTGCGGCTCCGGCAGTCTGGTTCCTTCCCTGGCGATCTCCCTTTTCTCTGGCGCTATGCTTGCTAGGCGTGACGACTCTGACAGTCTGACCTTTCTGCTTTCGCTTCCTCTATTCTTCAAAGCCAGGCTCTAGTTCTTCTTATTTATAAGTGACAAACCTCTGCCAAAGAATAAGTCAAGTTCAAGGAAGCATTCTGAATCTGTTTTGTTTGCTTAATCAACAAGCCTGTGGGTCGTTCAATGCCGACTCGTTTTCCGAACAATCGCTGCCCATCTTAAGTTAAATGAGTTTGACCATAGATAATGGGCATGAATATGCTTTTCACTAAAAATGAGTAATGTTTTCTTCAGGAATCGTTAATTCGGACAGGCAGAAAGAATTCACAACAGAGCACACTAAGAGTATTAACCACATTCCTCAACTTGCATCATGGGCACACTCAAATTACATCAGGATTTGACTAAAGTTACATATTTTATACCATGAGTTACATACTTACATATCAATTTTTCTTAGCAAGTTACACCATGTTTACACTTGATTTACATTTTTCAAAACACATGTTACACCACAATATAATGCGAGTTACATAACACAGTAGGTCTATGCTATTCAAATAAACATTATTTTTATAAAAAATATTTGTATAGACCTGATATTAAAAACAAAACGTAAACACTAGTCATGTAAAATAATTGGGCAATTAGAATTTTTCTTTTCATTGAAATCAATATTTTGTTTCTTATTTTATGTATTGGACAAGTTACATTTCGACTAGGTTTGAGTTACATTCATCAATGACGTGAGTTACATTATATTACACGCGAGTTACATCATTCATGTTACTGGGACAAAAAGAAAAAACAATTATTGTTCACGCGTTACTGTTCACGCATTACTGTTCATCCGATTTTTTTATAAAAAATTGTGCAAAACTACGTCGTTTTGGATGTAGAGCACGGTGCTCACCGTGGGATGATCCCACGGTATACGCACTGAACAGTAATAATAAAGGTGCTGATCAAGCAAATTGACTCGTTGTTACTCGAGGTTGACTCGACTCCCAAACTTATCTCGAACCGAACCAAGTCAAGCTCAATTATCTATGTATCTGCAAATTCGAATCGCAAAGCTTGTGAACTCCTCAATTATGAGTGTGAAACAAATTTTAAGTATTTACTTAAAATTGATCGCAAATAATAATATGTGAAAATATCGGGTACAATCTCTAAATATGAATCCTCTGATTCTTCACTTGCAATTTGATATGAATATAATTAAAGAATTTAATTTCAAATTAAATCTCTAATTCTTCAAAACTCGAACGTTCTTCGATTCTTCGAATCTTCGTTCTTCAGATCTTCAAATCTTCGAACTTCGTTCTTCAGATCTTCAAATCTTCTTGAATCCAAAATTCAATATTGAAGGGCCTCCGGTTTCAAGTAGCTTGATCTTCAACAAAAGGGCCGTTATGTGGCTTGATCTTCTGTTAAAGGGCTTCCCGGGATATATGGCTTGATCTTCAATTGAATATTGATTCAATCTTCATATGAATATCTTCAAATCTTCAAAGATTCGTTCTTCATATCTTCGAATCTTCAAAGCTTCGTTCTTCAGATCTTCGAATCTTCAAGCTTCGTTCTTCAGATCTTCGAACGTTCTTCAACTTTTGGCTTTGTTTGATCAAGAATCGATGAAATCACAAAGGATTATTCATATATTCTTGACAAAAACGTGGCTTGATCTCTTCCTCTTCTTCGGAATCCTTCAGAGCCTTTTCGGGAGTTCTTCAGAGCTTTGCTGCAGCGTTTCTTCGTCTGGAAGTTCTCCTCTATTCCTCTCAACTGAGACCCCTATTTATAAGTGTGTAGGGGGTGAAAATATGCTTTAGGGTTTAGCAAATTCGTCCATACCCCTTGGGCCTCAATTAAAATGGACTTCGGGCTCTATTTGCTTGCATTTTAATAGCTAGAAAAATCAGCACTTATATAATGTATCTGGACAGCCTTTTTAACAAGGTTCACAACCATTTTTCATGCATTTGGATAGATTTCTTGACTGAATTCATTGCTCTCTTTATCAATTGGATCATGTCTCTTCTATATTGGGCCGCTATTTGATAATAGGCTCAAAATAGAGAAATTAATAGGATCGGTCCATTCTTTTAAGAATTTAATTAATCGGACATTTAGGTGTCCCGAATTAATCTAATCTCAAAATTAATGGATCCATATTAATATTTTCTTCTTGATAAGGCCCAACAACTATTTACAAATAGTCTAGTAGAATCTGATGTTGGCCCAATAAATTCAAAAGAGACCCAATAAATTTTACATGTCCACAAATGCCCCCTCGAGACTTACTTCAATATCTTAAACGGGTGAAAAGTAAGTCTCGAAACTGATATTTACAAAAACAAAAACTTGATTGGCCCAGATCATTTATCCACTTAAAACCCATTCACCAAATTTTCCAATAGCTAAAAGAGTCCATTTTTTTTTGCTTTTCAAAGAACCCAAATACTCTGTAATATACTCGGCATGTTAATTGGGTGGAGTTCAAATCGACTTTTAAAATTCACACCATCATCCTATTTGGCCCACATAAGGATGCTTCTGCGGAATTCCATCTGCATATACGAAGTACTGTATTACATCTCCAAATTTGAATCCAATACCAAGTCCTTTAATTTAGTATTCTATGAGGACTTTGATTTATCGCACAAATCGGATCTCAAATAGGGTTGGCAACGGGGCGGATCGGGGACGGGTACACATAAAACCGAAACCGCCCCGTTGGATAAATGTTTGCCCCAAATCTGCCCCATTACCCGTTCGGGTAATTTTATTTGAACCGTACCCGTCCCAACAGGGAATCGGTTTATCCACGGGTAACCGTTTCCCCAAATGATACCAAATAACCAATTTTTAATCCTGCTTATTATTCATGTATTCAAAAATAACATTAATACATCGCAAAAAAAACATCATCTTAAAAGTAGTAATGAGAGCACCAAAAAAACTGTTGGCATAAAAAAGTAGTAATCCATCGCAAAAAAAAAACTGTTTTAGGCCTAACTGCGTAAATTCATTACACCATAACATTAATGTTCATGTCATTAATCATCCCAAATTCCCTCATCTTGGAGCACCCTTCCATTCATGTCAAAGTTGTGATTCCTGAGGCACCTGCAAGAAAACACATCAGTATAAGAAAGATATTATATTAGGTCTTCTCAACCATAACTGAACAATTGAAAATAAGAGACATGCAGGAGTGTTCTGTTAAGATATACTAATTTACTTTTCTTCTTGCTAATAGATACAGAGTATAAAGGAGACAACTTATACATCATAGAAAGTTTCAGTCATCCAGAGAGATACTTAATAAGATGAGGATAAAACAATCATATATTAAAATAAAAACAGTCATCCAGTATGATTTGAATATTAAACCAATTATAACAGTCATCATATTAAAATTCCCCCTTCCCATAAGTAAGATGACTGATAATAAGATGACTGATATTACCAATTGTAACAAGATGACTGATAACTTTTTATAACAATCATCATATTAACAGTCTAAAGTGTACCAAAAGTAAGATCACTGATAAATAACCAATTATAACATTCATCAAATTAAAATTCCTTTAGAACACAATCATCATATTAAAATAAAATAACTACTCCGGTGTTTACCTTAATTACATTATAGTACTTCCACCACTTACTCCGTTTCTTCCCAATCTGCTCAATCGCATCTTGTTGATTTGCCTCTCCCATTTGCCTGGACTCATCGGCAATAGAATTCTCAACGGGCAGTGATTGACTTCCTGTTCCACCATTTACACCGATTGAATCTTGGGTGCTAGCACTTTGTGATGCCATAATCTATCAATAATATTATTATACAAACTATTAATTAGTATTAATATAAAAAATAAGGCATCTAGCAAACAGCAAACTCAACATACTGTAATACACTCTCTGTATTAACCACAAGACAGGCATCTAGCAAACCACCAAACTGTAATACAAACTCTATATTAATACAAACTATTTTGGGGAGTTAGGATGGTTAGGGGCAGGCGGGCTGAACTTAGGTAGTAAAAGAGCAAAACTTGATACGTATAAACTTACAAACTATATGCAAGTATATTCATATCAAACATATGCTCTAATAAAATTTGAAACATATAATAGTATGGAAGTATATACCCCTATCGGTTACATCCCCCACCAAATAGTGAAGTAATAAGCAATTCTTCCATTTAAATACCTAAAAGATCGAATTCCTGAATTGCGAAGACATTCTGGAGAAAGAATCTCCATGCATAAAATTGAAGATCTTAATGATGTAAAAACATTAATCACCAAACTGTAATACAAACTCTTTATTAATCACAAGAAAACTTAACTTTGACAGGAGTGATTCCGAAAAAAGAAGAAAGAAGAGACTAGGTCGAAGCCTTAATGGTGAGAAAGATTAGATGCCACCGGCGATAGAGACGAACTGGAGTCTGGAGGCCTAGCATTGTTCCATCTGGAAGGATCGAAGAGAGCTATTCTAAACAGAGGCGCAGAGCCTTGAGCCTCTGAGTCGCAATCCGCGGAACATCGAAGACGAAGAGGGATGTTAGCCTGTTAGGGTTTCTTTGAAGTGGGCCGCTGAACTCTTGAGTATTATTTAGTTATCCATTATATACTTATATGATAAATACTTATTATTCTTTTATATAAAAATTAATAATTTATAAATAATATTACGGATCGGGTAACGGTGCGGGTACCCGCCCCATTAGTGAACGGGGCGGTTTCGGGGCGGGTAACGGGGTGGATTAGCATAGAGCCATAACCGCACCATTACCCATTTAAAAGTTTCGGGTATTCCCCGCCCCGTACCCATTCCCCAGTCAAACCGGTTTTCCCCAGTTTGACCAAATCGGTTCGGTGCGGGTATCCAACGGGTCGGCCGCAATTGCCAACCCTAATCTCAAACTCTCGTTTAACATCTATAAATATTAGCACATACTTCTTCTCTTTTCTGTACTTCCGATCAGAGATTTAAAAACTACGGAGTACTTCCTTCCGTCCTTGATTATACGGAGTATTTCCGAAGGAAAAGGTGCATAGGTAATGTCTTCTTTTATCATTAATTAATTCTCTATCCCATTGCTTTGTGTTGGCTTGTTGCAGGGGTATCTCAAGCTTCGGAAAAATCCAGAGGCAGAAAAAGTTGCGTTCAAAATCCCAGTTGCAGAAGAAGCTTGGCAGCGAGAAGGGAACTGCCGTGTCAATTCGCTGCTCTTGCCTGGTGCTCTGTCCAAGCAGAAAAGGTTGGTTGGTTGCGGACAACACCGAGAGCAGGTCGTCGCTCCTCTTACTTGCCGCCGGGCTGATGGTGCTGCTGGTTCACTGGAGAGAGGAGAGGTGATTTTCGACGCTGATTTCCGGCAAGGAGAGATCTGGTTCGTTGCTGGAGAAGAAGGTGAGACCAAAGTTCGGTGCTGGTTTCCGGTGAGGAGAAGACGGACTCTTAGGAGATGGAGAATTCACCGTCCAAAGCTTGGGGATGTTCTGTTCGTCTGTTTGCAGATCGGAAAGCCGTCTTCGCCGGAGAAGATGACGTGGCTGGTTTTCATTGCTGGCGCCGTTCGTGGCTCGCTGGAGAGAAGAGGTCGCTGTTGATTTTTCCCTGGCTAGCTCGGTTTGTTCGTCCGGTGACCAAGCCTGACTGGATTGCTGCTCTTCTGTGATAAAGATGACTGTCTGTTGTGACAAGTGTGCAGGCTGATTAAGAACATCGGGAGCTCTTTAGGCCATTAGCCTAAATGCCTAATGGACCATGATTTCAACTTCGGTGCCGTTTGGTAACACCCCTTTTCCGCTTATCAGGCTTATCAGCCAACTTTTCCACCAAACACGTAATTTTTGCTTTAACGTGCTGAATTGTGTAATAAGCAGAAAAAGTAAGGTTGAAGTTACTTTTCTGGCTGTATTGCCTGAAGTTACTGTAGATGACCATTTTAGCTATTTTTACATATAATTTTTTCTTCATTTTATTAATAAAATATATTTTAAAAATATTTTTTTCTTAAATCAGCAGAAACAGCCAATGCAGCCACTTCAGTCAGAACTTCAGAAATTTCAGCAGAATCAGCCAAACCAGCCGATTTTCCTTCTACCAAACGGGCTCTTCATTGGACTTAAAGTGAACATTGAGAGTATTTTATTTCTTTCTTTTCACAACACTCCCCTATGTCAGCTTTTTTTTTTTTCTTTTTTTTTTAATGCAGGGGCAATCAAATAGTAGCTACTTAAAACTTTAAATGCATTAGTTCTCCACTCGCCAGAGCAATTGAGAGTTCTATATTCTCTTATTTCAAGCGACAAAGTGGTGCCATTCTTTGAAGAGAATCGGAGCTTTACTTTGTGTTGCTGAGATCGAGACTTTGTTGGCCAGAATTTTGCTAATGTCGTGGACAAGAGATGATGGTGCTGACTTTGTTGCTATTGGCGCCGCTTAGCCCTTTGTTGGGATGGCGCCGATTTGAAGAATTAGGCCGATTCCCGATTGTCGGTGCTGCTTAGCCCTTTGTAGGGATGGCACCGATTTAAGGAATTAGGCCGGTTGCCGATTGTCGGTGCTGCTTAGCCCTTTGTTGGGATGACGCCGATTTGAAGAATTAGGCCGATTCCTGATTGTTGGTGCTGCTTAGCTCTTTGTTGGGATGTCATCGATTTAAGGAATTAGGTCGGCTGCTGATTGTCGGTGCTGCTTAGCCCTTTGTTGGGATGGCACCGATTTGAAGAATTAGACCGATTCTCGATCGTCGCTACTGTTTAGCCCTTTGTTGGGATAGCACCGATTTAAAGAATTAGGCCGATTCCCGGTTGTCGGTGCTGCTTAGCCCTTTGTTGGGATGACACCGTTTTAAGGAATTAAGCCGATTTCCGATCGTTGGTCCCGCGTAGCCCTTTGTTGGGATGGCACCAATTTAAAGGATTTGGCCGATTCCCGATTGTCGGTGTTGTTTAGCCCTTTGTTGGGATGGCACCGATTTAAAGAATTAGGCCGATTCCCGATCGTCGGTGTGGAGATCAGCCACTTCGTCAGTTTGAAGATCGGCTATTTTGCCAGTGTGAAGAAACTTCAAGGAACTTGTAGCGGTCCGACTAGAGCTTGTAGCGGTCCGGCAGGAGCTTGTAGCAGCGGTCTTGGCAGGAGCTCGTAGCGGTCCAGCGGGAACTTGAAGCACTCTTGTCGAAGCTTGAAGCGGTCTTAGCTTGCAAATTTCAAACGATGGTGTTGCCCTTTGTCATCATGAAGAAGATGACATTATTGTTCAAAGCTTTAGAGGTACCATCGATGCTACTGTCGTCGCGCCACCTGCTCTGTTGTTGGGATGGTGGCGTCATTGTGGAGATATCGTTCGAAGCTCAACTCAATCCACTTCGATGAGGAGGAGATCAAAGAATTCCTGAAGCCTTTACCGTTCATATGACTTTTTTCGTAAGCCTTCTTCTGACATCCTTTTTGACAAAATGACTTGATTGAGATTTATTTTGTTATAACTGAACTCAAAATTGAAACTTTTGAGCTGCCTACGTACTCCTATAAAGGAGATCAAGTCAAACGTAGTTCATAAGTACCATTTGAATAGGTAATCTAAAAGGGGGTGGGGCCATACACAGTTTTAACTCATGCGGGCCAGGAGCTTGCTGATGTGAGTTTTCTCGCACTTAAAATAGTTGTAGAAAAGTGGTTGAAAGTACGAGTATCGTCTCCACAGGGACGGACAAAAGGGAATTAAAGATTAACTAAATTCAGCGATTAAACAGAAATAAATAAATTGAAATGCGATGTGCGAGATTGATTGATTGAATTAAAATTAAAACTAATGCTAATGAGCGATAAAAATAAAAAGATTGGTTTCTCTCTAATTAATGACGAAGGGAATAGGGATTGATTCCGGGGTAACCAGATTTCTGGCAGATCAGGCCTAATTACATGAATTTAATTTAATTGAGCCTAGCTAATCATTACTAAGTTCTTACCGCTCTCGCGGCGTAGAGTACAATAATTTAGGGGACCAGGCTGATCTCTCATGCGTCAGGATCCTAAATTATTGCCAAGACGAGCGAGCTTACGGCCCCTTAATCGCTACTAATCTCTTAGCGAACGATTAAGTGCGTGTGAATGTGTCCTAGAACAAATTAGATCTCTCTTAATTCATTCTACATGCAATTGTAATTCTAGCTGCAGTCTAGGTTACAAGAGATATCAATTAAATTATTCAAACACAAATTAAACGGCATTCATGCAATTAAACCGACAAGAATCTAGCCATCAATCATGATTAACCCCTTCATCAACCCCAAATCCCTAATTAAACTACTCACGCCTCATAATTGACGAATCAAAAGAATTGGGATGAATAGAAATAATTGTCATTAATTAAAGAATTGAACTTACAAAGAATCCCAGGTTCTTGGATTAAACAACGTAAAAAACGCAGATAAACTCGTCCCTAGGCCTCTCTCCAAAGTTCGTAACCCCAAAAGTGGGTATGGAAGCCTTATTTATAGACAACAGGAGAATTTGAGCTGAATTAGGACAAAACGGGGTCAGGCACGGTGCCAGGCACGATCGTGCCTGCGACCGTGCCTGCGGAAGGGACGCGTAAAAATTTTGCAGACACGATCGTGCCTTCACCGGACACGATCGTGTCTGGCTGCCAGTGGCTCCGCGTTGATTAAGATGGCAGGCACGATCGTGCCTGACCTAGGCACGGCCGTGCCTGCCCTTTTCTTCACCATTTTTTTCTTCGTTTCAAGTTCCGAATGCTCCCGAATGCCTACAAGGTCGATCCAAATGCTCTTTCTTCACCAGAATTTCGTCGTGAATCTCCCGGTGGCCTCCAAATCTTCCAAATCTCTCTCGAATGTCTTCAAACCCTTCCCGAATGCCTCTCAAGCGCCGATTGCCGGACTCTAACTTCTTCAAATCAACTCCAAATGCTATGAAACTCGATCCAACGCCTGTTAAACACAACTTGAGCCAAAATTGAGACTTGCATCACCTTAAAGCCAGGAAAATCATCAAAATCCGACTCGAACACGCATCAAATGCGTGTCTAAATACGGACTTATCAGACTCCCCCACACTTAAGCTTTTGCTTGTCCTCAAGCAAATCGAACAACGGGACTTACGATAATCACCACACGGAATTTAAAATAGTTAGCATACACACGTAGTTAAAGGGATATTCACAGGACAGACAGTTTAAATTAAGAAAATTCTTCCCTAAACTACACCCTTGTACTCAGGCTAAACTATTTGACACAATTATTCACAACATCCTCAAAATAATGACAGCATTCACTAATAAGCTAGCTACTGATCAGAAGGACTTGTGAATTTGATGGTGAATGGGTAATAATGAAAGTAGTCCCTTTATCTTGAGAGATATGAATATTCTAACAAAGACTTAATGTATTTAGGAACTTCAGGGCTATTTTTGGGGATAGGGAACTCAGTAGGCCACAAATTAGGAACAATAATTTACGCCTATGCAAAGAGTAGACATGGTGTACAACTAAGCTAAACCGTCTCGGCACTTTTGTGCTTTGACGTATACTTGAAGTACGCGGAGGACTAAAGCTAGTTTTTCAATAGCCTCCAAATTCATTGATTAAGTTTAATTTTCCTTGTCATGTTGGCACGAGAACGCCGTTTCTTTCGAAAGATACCCAAGTCTCATCTTACGCTTTTTGACCGGGGCTCCCATTCTCTTTTTCGTAAGGTAAGAGGTCTAGCTATATTAATTTTTCACCTTTCGGATTCTTACTAGACATTACCCCATTCTAATCTCGGCCTTACCAAGGAAAAATAGCAATTAAGGTTCATTTATTTCAAAGTGAATCCATGCCTACAATGCAATCCTCGAAAGTATCATATTCCTAAAAAATGACTGCTCTTACCCCGTTTGAGGCATAGGAACAGTGCCAAAAAATGGCTCATACACAAATTCCCTAAACTTAGCAAATTAATCCCTTAATTCCCTACACATCAAGACTAAGTCAGAAATATTCACGGGTAAGGAAACAGGCCATTTGGCTATGGAGCTAAATTAATTGGGTAAACAAAGAACGGTCAGGCTCAAAATGACTTCTCCTGAAGGGTCTTATTCAGGTGGGGTGGATGACTAATGGATTAATTCAATGGGTAACTAATGCCTTCATCCTTTCAACAACTAGATTATAGTGTAAGCAATTTAAGCCTAAATACTTCAAAGATGTTCTAAAAGCATAGTCAAAACGCTAGCCAGCTCACAAAGACACAGTTTAAAGAAAAATTTTCAAAAATTTTGCATGAATTTCCTATGAATATACAACTAACACCTGCGCATGCTAACTCTAACAAATCACATGTGACAACTACTGCCCGAATGCCCAATTCACTCCCCCACACTTAAACTTTGGCATCGTCCTCGATGACCAAATATGCATTATGTACTAGGGGTAAAGAGGAAAGGGTCACGCGTGCTCAAAATTAACTCAAGTTAACATTACGCATCAAGTTCAAAGAATCATGAAAACTCCCCTATGGCGTTGGTCAGTCAGGAACAGAACTGAGTCTTGATTCGCACGAACACATTCATCCACTAAGCTGCAACAAATCATGAACACCAAGCAAAGCACAAAATAAAGAGTTAATGTAAAAGAGTGAGAGTGAGTGTGATAGTGGTTACGGTACAGTCATCCAACAATATCATGATACAGATGCTAGCAGAGGACAATCTAATGAAATCTAAAACTCAGGAGGGGGTGGTGGTGGATAGGCATCGAAGAATGAACTCCAGCTGGTCTCCATGGAGGTGAGTCTCTCATCAATCCCTGTATACTGAGACTGGAGCTGTGAATAGTGGAGTGCCTGGTCCTCCCGCATCTCTCTGTAGAAGTCCTGCTGCTCGAAGCGCATCTGATCGAACCGCTCATGCTGCTCAGCGGACAACTGCCGATAGACGGCATCCTGATGCGCATGCATCCCCGCCCAAGAATCCGGAAAAGCTGTGCCGTAGGGAGGTGCATCGTATGAAGCCTCGTGAGCAGCCTCCTCCATCTCTACCTCATCATCACCATCAATGTCATCATCATCATCATCATCAGCTCGCTGTCCTCCTCCTCCTGCTGGTGCTGCCGGCTGTGCCCTCCTCCTTGCCACGCCAGTGTTGACCTCGGGAAGCCGGGTCAATGCAGCAAAACTGGAGCTCTCCTCCATCCTCTGAAAGCGGTCCCCGAACCCCATCCTAGTCAACAGTCTCGTAATGAATGGGCCAACATATATGGCCTTGATGTGGTTCGTGGCTTGGCGGTGGAGGAGTTTGGCTATGAGATAGCCCATGTGGGGCTTGCAGTTGTGGATCATACAATATAGGCAGAAGAGGTCCGTCTGAGTGACCTTACCGGCAACCTCGGCCTTGCCGGTGATGGTGGAGGAAAGGAGTGCGTGTAATATGCGGTACTGGCGGGGGTAAAGTAGGGTGCTAGGGGACTTCTTCGGTGTGTAGGTCCCGCCATCTCTCGTAATCGACTCCCAGAATGCCTGGCGGTCGACGCCTGGGGGAAAGTCTGTCAAAGTAGCCTCGTGCTGGCCGTTATCCTCGATCCCCATAAAACCCAAATGATAGCGCACCTCCGCCATGGAGATGGCATGATCCTCCTCGAATGCCCGGAACTTGATGACGGGCCTATGGTTGTCATCAATGGGGATGACCTTCGGCATCTTGAATGTCGCTAGCACCTCGCAAGTAATCTCTCTATATGTGATATCACGGATCCCAAAGAATAAGTGTCTCCACCACCCCCGTCTCAAAAGGAACATCACGTCATCTCTCACTCCTGCTGCCGTGAGAGAGTCCTCATCCGGAAAGTAGAATGTGCCCATAGGCTTTTGCAGCAGCTCCGTATGCTTCAGTTCGTCCCGCAGTTGCGGGAACCTGGGCTGGTACCGGCTGGTGTTGCCTCGGCTAGAGCCGGCACCTCCACCTCTAGTATGCTTCTGCCTTGGTGCCATCTGTCAAAACAAATCAGAACAAGAATTCCAACGGGGCTTCCAAATGTTAGAACAAATTTTCAAAGTACAGCAATGGCCCCGTCAGCACTTACTCAGGCAAAAAAAATCATCTTAGTAGAACAAACCCAAGTTTAACCAGAATAGTTGAAAAGTTTGAATTTTTATCAAAGAAGAGTTCTTTGAATAAAAGTTCAAATTTTCAACGACACACGGTATAAACAAGGTCACAAGAAAGCGTATTCATCACAACAGTGTTTGTAGAATGGAGTTCCTCCCAAGAGAATTAGCAAAAAGATCACAATTAGGGGAAGAACCCAAAATTCTCAAATTTGGCCTAAAATTGGGGATTTATGCTCAAATGGACTAAAAAACAAGGTTTCAATATCAAAAGCAATAATTCACTCCTTAATTTAAGCATCAAGCACAAAAAAAATCCCCAAATTTTTCTCACATTCATCAATTTTCAACCCTAAATTGGCTAAATTAGCTCAAAAATTAGGGA